GTAGGGGCCTGCATCATTTCAATGATAGTTCCTTTAAAGGAGTTTAGGGTTTGGGGAATGTAGGGGCCTGCATCTTGTCAATTTTAGGGTTCCTTTAAAGGGGTTTAGGGTTTAGGGCATAGGGAATGTAGGGGCCTGAATCATTAGAAAAATAAGGTTCATTTAAAGGGGTTTAGGGTATGTAGGGGCCTGCATCACTAGAATAATAGGGTTTAGGGTTTAGGGTTCCTTTAAACGGTTCCTACAAGGGTCACTCTACTGAATTATGGGGCTAAGGGCCTTGAGAATTAGAATAGGGTTTATGTAGGGGTATATTATAGTATAGTTTGATAAGGCGCCCCCACAACCAGACAATTAAGACATGAATTATTTAGGCTTCTATGGTGATCGCTCCGAGGATGTCATAGGGCCATAGGGTAATTTCCAGGGGCTTCAGAAAAGATTAATAACAAGGAGCACACTATAGGGCTACATATAGGGATCCTAGTACATCTTGCGGCCCCACAACAAAGGCGTTTTTTAACCAGAAATCTGCATTGTGGGGCTCCAAATATCCCAAAGTTGGCACGCACTACTTCTGCACTTTAGATTCTACACACCGGAACAGATACCGTCTGTTTACTTGGAGCTTTGCTGCTTTGAGGTTCTCTGCATGTGGACAACTTTGAAAGGAGCAGGAGGCAAACACAACTGAACTCCAAACCCGAATAGCTTGACATCCAAAATGGTTTAGGGTTGAGGGTTGGTGTGGTGCTGCGTACCATGGCGTGCCAGTGCGGCAAAGCTTGCCGGAGTTGAACCCTGAACCCTCAACTTTTATCCCTCAAGCTCTAGAAACTTAATCCTACAGAAGCTTGAGGCCCAACGTAGCTCCAACTAAAACCCTACATTCTTTCCTATAGAGCCCTAAACCCCGAATCCCATAACTCTAAGACTTTACGCTTCTAGAGTTTGGCAAAGGGACCCTTTACAGTGACAGCGGGAAGCTCGGACTGACCACTCCCAAGCTTCGTTCCTCCCCACTCGAATCCCGGCGAAGGAGATTTTCTCAACTCCGGGCCATCTGCTAAATGTGTGAAACTGCTTCTTGCTGATGATTTTATTCGTAGGGTGTAGGTTGGGGTTTATAAGGTTGCTAGGAATCAAAAGAATAAACTGCTTCTTGCTGATGGCGTATGGGGATTAGGGTTTCAGAGTTAGGCTTCAAAACATGACGAAGTCGGTAGTCTGGCATCCAGCTTCATTCAAGCTGACCGGACTGCGACTAGGTTTCTGTTCTTCGGGCTTTAGCTGTATGTAAATGTCTAGGACTGTTCGGTAAGCCGATGAGTTCTTCGACAAACCTCGCAGGCAGAAAGTGCAAGCAGCGCCGCTGCGATTCAGTGCTAGCCCGGTTGTATCTGTGACTCAGCCACGCAGACCTGACACGACGGCTCCCCTTCTTGGAAGGCTCCAACCTAGCTTAATCTAGAGTTAAAGCAGATAGACAGATACTTCATCCAGTCAACGACCCCATGTACAGGCAACCTTAACAAGCTCAGAAGTACCGCTAACTTCATGAATAATTTATCTCCAGGCGTTGAGGGAGAATAGTTTCGTAGGCAATTCTGTTCTTACATGTTGGTTCGTTTCCCGATCCAAACAGCCGACGAAAATCTACGGTTTGTGTCTCCTCCGCAACGTTCATGTAAGGTGAATCTTTTAAACGATCCGATCCATTCTGCCCTATTTGCAAGTCTCGCCGGGCAGATGTTCGCTCGAGTTAGACGTCACGGCTATTTGTGTTGAGAACGAGCCTGTCTGCCAAGCATCTCCTAAGGCGCTTAGTGAATCCACCTACACAAATATACGTGTAGAAGGATGTATCATGTTGACGGCACGATACCAGCAAACGGGTAGTCTTCAATGCTTTTTGCACCCGCTTGGTCCCTAAAACTGGGTGCACGGCATGAACGTCATTACTTCGGCCTCCTTCCAAATCCTCGGCAGATGATCTGAGCTCGACAGAACTGCTTTTATCAAACACTCTTACCCAAAACCCTACACACCAAACCAGAAGAAAACATAGTTCCATCTGAATTTTCAAATGCAACCTTGGCTGATGGGGTGAAGCTTGTTCTAAGTTCCATGTTCCTGCTTACTGTGCCTGCGCCCGCTTCAATAGCACACAGCAGCTACTTGCTATCCCTAAGGCTCCATGTGCCTATCTAGTAGATGCTTACGCCTTTAAGGTTATATACTATGTAGGTATTTACAGGCCTAAGTATATACTATATGGGCGCATGGAGCATTAGGGCATAATGCGACAAGAACCTCAAGCAGCGGCTGTCGGTCAGAATCCTCCCCACCGTTTGGCAAGTCGGCCGCCTCGTAATTACGCTAAAAGGCATGGGCTTTGATGCCTAGACCAAACCCACACTAGCAGTCTGACTAGACTCTGAAGGGAACAATGTGCAGGGTAACCGCCGCCCAGCCGCAAACTCCGTCGTGCTGCCGGCGACACTGGGTATGTCCTTGGACCGTGAGTAGACTTAGACGCGGGAGGGGATCTCCCTACCTGTCCAGTATATAGCGGAATTTAAGGTTATAACCTTTGGGAGTATATCGGGATGATAGAGGGATTATAGTACCCCCAAAAAACTATTAAGGGTAAGGGTAACCTTTTACTAGGCTTTATCCCGGTTTGCAGGCAACACGAAATTCCCCGGGCCAAGATGGCTCCTGACCCTTCGATCCCTCGACTTCGGAGTCGGAACGCTTAACGAATCGCGACTTTGGGCGATGAGGGTTTAGGGATTTTAGGGTTTAGGATTTAGGGTTTAGGGTTTAGGGTTTATAGGGTTTAGGGTTTATGGGGCTTAGGGTTTATAGGGTTTAGGGTTGAGCATCTCAGTCGGATTGCAGGCAAGGTGCGGGCGGCTGATAGATGGTGCTTTGACCAGTAGCCTGGCACGTAAGAGGAAGACTTGGGATGGATGCAGAAGAAAAAGCATCTCTCATCCCATGCCAGGGGTGCAGACACATGGGTGCAGGTTGGGAAGGCTTTACCCACGTATATCTAAGCACGATTCTTAACCCAGCCTGACACCCCACACTTGAGCAGGCTCTGGGTTCGAAAACCTACACAGATCCCATAAACCAGATTCAACTTGTCTGCAGTGGCCTGCGTTTGAGGCGCCACGTTGGAGGTACCTGGCTTCTCGAGGTTTTGGAACCTATCTAAATTATCCATTGTACTTCTTTTGTGGTTTAAAACCAACTCTATATTATATGTATAGGATCCTATAAGGTAGCCCCAAATAAGGAACTACAATGGAGACTATAGGTAGAAGACAACGAAAAGTTCCGTCTTCAAGATCCGACTCATTTCTGTGTCGTCCCCTGCCCCCCCTGGTCGTCTTGCAGTGGAACTTTACGACGGAAAGTGTGCTAAGCGCCTGCATCGCTTATCTTATCATTGGGTTTCAGATTTCTGGTGCTTAAAGCCTCCCAGATTCTATGTATGCTATAACGCCTGTTCTGCAGGAGGTTTCGACTGGGCTGCATCCTCAAAGCCCCGCCAGCACTTCCCTGCCCCCAGATACCGTGCCCCGAGCCCCAGGCTGCAAGATAGGATCTAGACTAAGTGACGCCTCAGTTAGACAAAAACCTGGCCAATGGAGCTTGCCCAGCTTCACATCGGACTCATAGCACCAAGCTCACAGCACGTGAGCACCTTAAAACCCCTGACATAATGCCGTCAATCCGGTCATCAGCCTTACCTTCCCACCAACATGTCCAGCAAACTGGCCTTGTGTTCGAGGCTCCAGCACGAAAACTGGGCCTCGTCGCGCCGGGGCTAAGGATTCGGGCTGTGGTGGCCGGTGTCTAAAGTTTCATCTTCCAGTTCTTGGCTTGGGGTTCAGGGTTTAGAGAAGTCTCTACATGGTGTTGGCATGCTGGTTATAGAGAACCCTTGGGGACTGCTGGCTTCGGGACTTCAGGGTCGGATTATAAGAGATCTGAGCGCGAAGCTCGACTGCAGCTTCTGATGATGGGCTTGCATGGTTGCGGCTGAAAGTGAAGAAGTGTGTTTCTGCAGAGTGCTACCTTGCAAAAAAAAAACCATGCAGAAGAGGATGGCCATTCTGCAACATGTTGTAGAACATGCGTGCTTGCTGTTGCTTTGCAAGCGGGCAAGAGAAAGGACCGGAAAGTCTGAGCCCGCACACTCAGGAAGGGTCATGTTTCGCAAGTCTGCTCTTCAAGAACAGCAGCAACATATCATATACATCCGTCAAGAATATGACAGCATGACACGTCGAAGTCCAGGCTTATCGAGCAATGTTTCGATTCTCAATGACTCAAGGGTAGACCCTTATATGAACCCTATCAACCCTAAACCTCTCATCATCCCACTCGGCGTCCGGGCCTGATGGTGGATGAGGGGACAAGGGAGGACCTGATCAGGGCATCAGCCATCCGACAACAAACTTCTCGAGCCACATGGACGTTAGAGAACCTACCATTTAGGTCTGTATATACATGGGAAAGGGTCGGTTATGTAGGCTCCAGCTAGGAGTTGCGAGGCTTGCACAGATGCACAGGGGGATTCTAACAGCATCGGTCTTACAGCAACTGAGTGTTTGATCTTCTTTGCCGAGGAGGTGCGAAACCAACCTCACAACTCTTCGAAACCTCTGCAACAGCCTTCCCTTCTTAGTTGGCAAAAGAAGTCCGCCCACCCAAAACCACGATTGGGAAGGGGACAGCACCTGTTCCTGTCGGCGGTGGGAAGACACCAGACAGCTGTCCTGCCCAACATCGGCAGGCTGTGTCAACACATCCACTTGAAGCAATGATATGTTCGCGGCTGAAGTCGCGTAGTTAGCAAGCCCAAACAAAGACAATTTATCTTGGACTGCGTCGTGCCTGGACTCGATGTCTAAGTTTATGCAAGTTTACTTTGACTGTAGGAGCTTGGCATCGCAAAACCAGCGTGTCTGATCTGCACACGTTATCTACGTCAGAACCAAAGTGCCCAAACCGTGAAGACTTAGCTGTTGGCTGGCTGCCTGCGCCTGAGGGCGAGAAGGACGGCGCACCTCACACGGGTGCCAGTGACTAGTGCTTGCTTCGTCAATCTTAAGGACCAAATGCAGCCTACAGTACAAGGGCCATGACGGCTATGGTTCCGATCGCACACAGCGATTTGTAGGCATGGGGTATGTTAGTTACGTTTAAGGTCCCATACTCTGAAGGTACAAGGTAAGCTTCTCCAAGCAGTACTGTCAAACCTCCGATGCCAAAAAACCGTAAAGCACTTTTGCACCTGCTGATCTTTGCTGTTTACCTTCGTATCTCGCGGCAAAAGCCGCATCTGTCAGCATCACTGCAGACCCAAACACAGACAGCTTGCCACAATCTTGGAGAACCTGCGAGCGCCGAACCCAGCGAATATGACTCAGCCCAAACATGTACGGATTCCGGGTGAGCATGCGGCGAACATGCTTAGGGGAGAAGCGCCCCAACAGCCAAAATACCTTCGGCTTCAAATTCTTCTCCAAACTCAGCCCTAAGAAACTTGCATGTCTAGCTATCACTGTAGCAACATCTGCTTGCGTCAGTCCCACATCTCGCAACCACTGGACCGCGGGCTTCAAATTATCATCGATGCTGAGTCCCAACACTTG